CCGCCGATAAGCCAATTATGTATCAATTGGCAAATGCACCCTGAATCCCACGTGACCTAACTTTACTAATTAGTCTACCATGCGGAACCTTGTCAAAGGCTTTACTAAAATCCAAATAAACATCTACTGATCTGCCATCATCAATCTTTGTGTTAACTTCCTGAAAAAAACCTCAATCAAGTTTGTGAGACACGATTTTCCTCACACAAAACTATGCCGACTATCCCTAATCAATTTTTGCCTCTGTAAATGTCCATAAATCCTATCTTTTTTAATCACCTCCAATAATTTATCCAAAACCAAAGTCAGACTCACAGGTCTATAGTTCCCCGGTTTCTCCTTAAAACCTTTCTTAAACAAAGGTACATTAGCCAGCCTTGAGTCATCAGGCACCTCACCCATAGTTATAGATGATGCAAGTATTTCTGCAAGGTCTCATAATTTCCTCCCTTGTTCTGGGAGGAACATTTCCCACAATGTTCTGGGATACATTAGATCAGGTTCCAGAGATTCATCCAACTTTTTTTCTCTAAGACCACCCGAACTTGCTCTTCTGTTATGGGAACTGTTTTTTAAACATCAAAGTTTATTTCTCTGCATTCTCTAGACTCCATTTCTTGGAATTAAAACAAAATCCCAATACAGCAATATTTCAAACATTCATCAAAACAGGAGATTGGTTTACAATATATAAAAGTGGAAAATGCATGAAATACTTAGCAGGCCAGGCAGCATTTGTGAAGAGAAAAATAGAGTCAAAACCATAAGATGTAGGAGCAGAAATAGGCCATTCAGCCCATCAAGTCAGCTCTGTCATTCAATATCAGCTGATCTAATAATCCTCAACTCCACTTTCCTGCCTTTTCCCCATAACCCTTGATTCCCTTACTGATGAAAAATCTATCATAGCTTTGAATATACTTAACGACCCAGTCATAATAGCTCCCTGAGGTAAAGTATTCCACAGATTCACTACCCTTTAAGAGAAGAAATTCATCCTTATCTCTTTGACTGCTTATTCTGAGATTATGCCCTCTGGTCTCCCACAATGGGAAATTACCTCTCTGCATTTACCCTGTTAAGTCCCTTAAGAATCCTCTCATTCTTCTATATTCAAAAGAGTACAGACCCAAACTACTCAATCTCTCCTCGTAAGACAGTTCCTCCATACTTAATATGAGCCTTCTGAACCTTCTCGGGACTGCCTCCAATTGTCAGTACATTTTTACTTCAATAAAACTGTTCACAGTATTCCAGCTGTGCTCAGCCTAGTGCCTTGTATAGTTTTAGCAAAACCTTCTTACTTTTATAGTCCACTCCCTGTGAAATAAAGACCAACATTCCATTTGCCTTCCATATTTTCTGCTGAACTTGGATGCTAGTCTTTTTTGATTCATGGAAAAGAACAGGTGAATCCCTCTTTTCCATAGCTTTCTGCAGTCTTTCTCCATTTAAATAACATTCAGTTGCTCTGTTCTTCCTGCCAAAGCACATAACCTCACATTTTCCCACATTATATTTCATTTTTGTCCACTCACTTTACCTGACTATATCCCTCTGCAGACTCTTTGTCTCATTCGTACCACTTGCCTTCCCATCTATTTTGTGTCATCCGCAAACTTAGCTTTAATTCGTTTTCCTCATCCAAGTCATCAATCTTTATCATAAATAATTGTAAATTATCATAGCACTCCAATAGTTACAGGTTGCCATCCAGAAAACATCCCCTTATCCCAAATCTCTGTCTTCCATTAATTAGCCAATTCTCTTCCCGCACTGATATACTACCCCTAATGCCACAGGTTCTTATCTTATTAAGTAGCCTAATGTGTGGTACCTCATCAAATGCCTTCTGAAAATCCAAATTCATTACATCCAGTGCTTCCCTTTTATTCTTCCTATTTGTTACCTCCTCAAAGGATTCTGTGAATTTGTCAGGCATGATTTCCTCTTCATGAAGCCATGCTGTCTCTGCTTAATCAAATTATGCATTTCTAATGTTCTGCTGTTATACCCTTTCAATAAACTCTTTAACATTTTCCTAATAACAGATGTTAAACTAACTGGCCTATAGTTATCTGTCTTTTGTCACCTTCATTTTCTGAGTAAGGGTTTTTCATTGGCAGTTTTCTAATTCTCTGGGACTTTTCCAAAGTTTAAGGATTCCTGGGAGGTTACTACTAGCGCATCCACTAACTCTTTAGCTACTTCCTTTAATATCCTGGGATACATCCCATTAGGTCCAAGGACTTCTTATTGGTCTTTAGTCCCACAGTTTCCCGAGCACTTTTTACTCTAGTGACAGATATTGCATTTATTTTTCTCTTCCTTTTGCTCCTTGAATATTGTTTAAGGGCTTCAGGAAGAGATATTAATAAAGAAAAATAACATCAGGTGATTGCAGAAAATTTTGCTAATAGGAAACCAATTATAACCGTAGCAAGGGTTTTAATGTGGAGACAGTGACCTACATTGACATTTTAGTGTCTGGAAGGTTTATGTTGAAATTGAAAAGGTTGGATCTCTCTAATATTTGTAATCATACCATTTCAAACAGGTATAGCTGAGTGAAAAATAATTCATGGTTTTCTTTTTCTGTGTTTTTCTATGTTCTTCCGATGAAAGTACATTGGCAGCCTCTTACCACACTGTGGTAAACAAAAAGAAAAAAAGATTTGTCAAGCCACGGTCTTACCCTGGGATCTGACTTGTCCAGAGCAGGAAAGTTGACGTTTCGGGTCAGGTTTTTCTGAAGGGTCCTGACCTGAAACGTCAGCTTTCCTGCTTCTCTGATGCTACCTGGCCTGCTGTGTTCCTCCAGCTCCACACTGTGTTATCTCTGACTCCAGCATTGGCAGTTCTTACGATCTCTGAGTTACAATTTCAAAATGGCTTTGGCTGTACCTAAAATTTTTCTCAGAGTAGAAAATATAACAGTGGATCATTTGAGATATTTGACCAAGGCTCAACTGAGAGATTTAGGGGACAAATTGAATATAGCAACAAGGTAGGATCACATAGGGATGAGATAATTAATTGATTACCTTGCACTTAGAGATAAAAAGAGAGATCTGAAATTAATAAGTCATTCTAGAATTAACTAAGATTGTATTTGAAATTTATAAAAAACTTGAATTAGAGGAGAAAGGAAAAAAACTTTATTGAAAGAAAAGGAGGAAAAAAGGGAAATGGGAAGGGTAGGAATTGAAAAGAGCAACAAAAAGAGAGAAGAAATAAAACAAAAGAGCTACGTGTCAAACTTCTGAGAAAAACTAACCAAAGTTTGGGAATTTGCCAAAATGTATTTGAAGACTGGTTGACAAACAATGAAAACTACAGCAACTAAAAGGCCAAAGCTTGGAATTTTGTTGATAGAGATTAGGTGTTATTACTGTTGCCTCTCTCTGGGAAACTATATCAACTCAGTTATATAAATTATGTAGTGACAACTCTATACAGGAAAATAATCACTGAATGCACCGTTTTAATTTGAAAACAACAGGATAGGGAACATTGTCAGGACAGAAGTGTATTTACAGTGGTTAAAGAAATAGGGAGTAAAATAAAAATAAATCTGAGCCATTTGAACCAGAAATTGAAAATTTTAAAGTCAACTGAGATTGGGTAACATGGATATATTTATGAACTTAAATAGAATATTCAACTCTTTCCCAGAAAATCAGCTAGGTGACTTACAAAAGTGATTACAGAACACTAAATCAATTTGTGTAAATAGGCCAGAGCATACATCTTTGGCCATATACGATGTTAACGTAGAGAGGGATGTACCACCATCAAGAAACGTCCTTATAGTCTCAATGCAGAGAAACAAGGGAAGAGATCAAGTTTGTGATAGAAAATGACATAATTTAATTAAGTCACGATAGTTGGAACTCATCTATTGTGATGGATCAATATGATTCATACTAGATTGCAAAACTGGAGAACTTTATTGAGAGGATTGGGAATGTCTGCTTTGTTATAAAAATGACTTATTAAAGGGATTTTGGCAAGTTTCATTGACCAATACAGCCAAAGGGGAACTTTATCAATGTAAAGTCATGTCAAATGGAATGTAATATGTACCAGCAACTTTTCAACCAACAAGGTGGTCTGCTGATTATATGATCGCGTTGTATATATCAATGATTTCATTGTGCTCAGCCAAACCTGACAGGACCATTTTCAATATTTTAATTAATTGATTGGTCATTTACAAAGAGCCAGTTTAGGTATAGGATTAGCTAAAAGTGAATTTAACAAAGGACTTATTTGGGTCAGCATGGGAAAGGCCAAGGAGCACCCAGAGAAACAAAAATAAGTGCTATCTTAGAGTTTCTAGTGCCAAAGACAGAATGAGAAATTTTGCAGTATTTTGGCATAAGTAGATTTTAGCAGAGGTTATCCTAAATTTCAGTACTGTAGTGGTTTATTTAGCATGTTTGTCAAAGAAGCAAAAGACATTTGAATATACAGAGGAATGCTGGAGTGCCTTTGACAATGTGAAATTTGTACTAAATACCCCACCAGTTTTAGCATAACTGGGTTATCATAAGCCTTCAAATGCCTGTTGATGTCAGAGATATCTGTGTTGTTTTAGGAGATGGCAATCAAATGACCAGTCAGTTACTTTTCAAGCAAGTTGAATGCATGCTAACAAATATTCAGTTGTGCAAAAAATTGACAGTATCAGGGCAGGAGATTTTTCATGAGCCAATAGAGAGGAGAGTTAATTTGTGATTTAAAAAGACACAAGGATAACATGATTGTTATGAGAAGTCTTATATATTTGCTGTAAATATAATCATTATTGAAATAAAATCTGGATAAGTAAAACAAAAATGTTGCTAAGGGAAATCATAATAGAAACTGAAAATGCCTCTTAAAAATACCTGTTTATTTTGTTTTCTATGTGGAGGCGTGATGAAGTTTCATAATGTATTATTATTGTTTGAGATCTTGTGTTCTGATGTGGAGGAAAAATGGATTATAGTCTTCAGTTCTATGAAAATCTGAATTTTTATTAAAGAGGTCAGAAATTCAATTTTTGAACAGTGAGTTAAAGGCAATAGGTTGAATTTTATGCTTTTTTGGCTAACTGTCAGTTTCATCACATGTTTTGGAGGATTTCTCACCACAAGGCTAAGTGAAATCTCTCACCATATTATACCAAATTCACCTCAATAATTAGCTACACTACCACTATGAAGCCGTTCTCACGCAACTCTAGCTTAGCATGTGCCATTCCCAGAAGAACTTGCAAATCAGTGATATCTGCTGGAAAACCAGAATTCTTTCTACATGTGCTATGTTTAAAATACAACTGGCATTCCAAAGATGATGAACATTCATTCAGAAGAGGTCAGAAAAGAGAAAAATGGCACAGCTGTTCTCCAATGGAGATCTGGAAGTTGTAGTCGATGGGGTGGGCCAGTGGTATGCTGTCCTACTGCCAGAAGACTGGCAGAGGAGACCACACCATCACACCCTGGAACCTTGTCGAAGGTTGCCACCGAGGTTAGTGTGGTCTCCACGATTCAGAGGAATAGCCAACTATTCACAACGTCTTCTCTGCTCCATCAGGGTAAGTGCCACAATCTTCTAAAAACCGAAAGAACTGCGGATGCTGTAAATCAGGAACAAAAACAAGGTTGCTGGAAAAGCTGAGCAGGTCTGGCAGCATCTGTGAAGGAAAAAAAGAGTTAACATAACTGCAGCAGAGATAGTAGGAACTGCAGATGCTGGAGAATCTGAGATAACAAGGTGTAGAGCTGGATGAACACAGCAGGCCAAGCAGCATCAGAGGAGC